TAGCAAGAGGAGGAAGAAAAATATGATAAAGGCACTTGTAAATACGCTTGGAGTGACTGTTGAGGACCCGACTGAACTTCGGGTTATGGTGACAGAGTTTTACCAGACCCTTTATACCTCTGAGGGGGTAACAAACATGGAACAAGTCCTTCAACATGTGCCCACGAAGGTGACGCAGAATATGAATGATATGTTGATGGCATCATACACAAAGGAGGAAGTCAAGGCAGCATTGTTTCAGATGGGACCGACCAAGGCGCCAGGGCCTGATGGGTTCCCAGCACACTTCTATCAGAGACACTGGGAGATCTGTGGAGATGAGGTGACCATGGCAGTCATGCGGATTATTAAGGGGGAGGAGAATGCAGAGTGTGTTAATGACACGGTGCTAGTTCTTATTCCCAAGGTGATGAACCCAACACTCCTCTCACAATTTCATCCAATAAGCTTATGTAATGTGCTATACAAAATTGCGTCCAAAGTTGTTGCAAACAGGCTGAAAGTGATCCTGCCGGACATTAATTCTGAAGAACAATCAGCCTTTGTCCCAGGGAGGTTGATCACAGACAACATTATCTGCGCTTATGAGTGCTTGCATTTTATGAAGAGAAGTAAAGCAAAGAGAAATTCTCACTGTGCACTCAAGCTGGATATGATGAAGGCATATGATCGCTTGGAATGGTCCTACCTCCAGGCTATAATGATGAAGATGGGCTTTGCACAACAATGGGTGAATATTGTTATGAGCATGATCAGCTCTGTATCATTTTCAGTTATGTTCAATGGTGAGAAACTTGAATCTTTCAAACCTTCACGAGGCATCAGACAGGGAGATCCGATCTCCCCCTACCTTTTCTTGATTGCAGCAGAGGGCCTTTCGTGCCTACTCAAAACCAGTTCACAGTCGACCGTGCTCGAGGGGATCAAGGTGGCAAATTCAGATCCGGCTGTTAACCACCTCCTCTTTGCGGATGACAGCCTTCTGTTATTCAAGGCGAGTTCAGAGGGGGCAGTTGAGGTTTCAAACCCTCTGGAGTTATACTGCAAAGCGTCGGGGCAGCGTATCAACTATGACAAATCGTCTATTTTCTTTAGCAAGGGATGCCCACAACAGTTGAGGGACAATATTAAAGCAATTCTTCATGTACACAATGAATCATTGAATGAGCGTTATTTGGGCATGCCTACGGATGTGGGGCAGTCCAAGATGAACACTTTCAGATATCTCCGAGATAGAGTGTGGGAGAAGGTGAAGGGTTGGATGGAGAAGCTCTTATCAGTGGGAGGGAAAGAGATCCTAATTAAAGCAGTGGCACAGGCCCTGCCGGTCTACTCCATGGCCTACTTTGGGTTACCTAGAGGCCTCTATGAGAATATTTCCTCTATTATTAGGCAGTTCTGGTGGGGAAGCAAAGCGGGAAAACGTAAACCAGCATGGGTGGCTTGGGACATTATTACACGGCCGAAACATCTTGGAGGCCTTGGCTTTCGGGATATGGAGATTTTTAACCTTGCTTTATTGGCAAGACAAGCCTGGAGAGTGCTATGTGATCCTGATTCATTGAGTTCCCGGATCCTAAAGGCAGTTTACTTTCCGAACTTCTCTCTTATGGATGCAGATCTTGGTAGTAGACCGTCACAAATTTGGTGGGCGATATTGGACGGGAGAGACATGCTAAGGCTAGGCCTTATCAGAAGAATTGGTAACGGAAAAACTACACATATATGGACAGAGAACTGGCTCCCACGTCCTGGAATGATGAGGCCGATCGCACCCATGCTTCCAAATCCTCCACAGATGGTTTCAGATTTGATACTTACAGCGACAGCGAGTTGGAATGAGCAACTTGTCCGTTCGGTGTTCTTGCCCATTGATGCAGAAGCAATTCTAGCTATTCCTTTATGTACTAGAAACGTAGAAGATTTTTGGGCTTGGAGTGGAGAGCAAAGAGGATCCTTTTCTGTCAAGTCTGCCTACAGAATTATCGTGCAAACCAAGATCACAAGAGAGAACTGGATTGAAGAACGGGATAGCTCATCGACAGCAGACAGTTTGCGGACGGACTGGACTGAGCTTTGGAAGATCGAAGTACCTCCAAAAATCAAACTCTTTCTATGGCGACTCGCCAGGAGCTCAATCCCGACAACCAATCTCTTGGAGCATCGGCATATGTCAACGTCGGCTGCATGTTCGTTATGTGGAGCGAGGGACTCGTGGAGGCATGCGTTATTAACTTGCCCGATGGCTGGCAGTGTATGGGCACTAGCTGATGAGGCCATCCTGGACCAAATGAGCCGTTTTGACACCGATAATGTCAAGGGTTGGCTGTTTGACATGAAGGGAGCTTTGTCAAGTGATCTGTTTGTCCGTATGACGACCACCTTATGGGCTATATGGGCGGCAAGAAGAAAGGCGATCTATGAAGATATATTTCAGAGCCCATACTCCACTCATTGCTTTGTCAATTCCTTCCTCAATGATATCCAAATTGTCAAGCAACCAGAGAGGACAGTAGTGCCGCCAGTGCTTGTGAGGCCAACTGGTTGGATTAAACCACCTCCAGGCTTGATGAAAGTGAATGTTGATGCGGCCACTATGACAAGATTGAAATTTGGGGCAGTTGCTGCGGTTTGCAGGAATGGAGAGGGCTTGTATCTTGGTGCTTCGGCTATAGTCTTTGATGGGATTTGTGACCCAGCCACCCTCGAGGCTTTGGCAGTTCGGGAAGCAATGGCACTTGCAGAAGATCTCCATATACATGCACTACACGTTGCCACAGACTGCAAAAGCGTGGTGGAAGATATCAAGCAAAAGAACAGTCCGAACTATGGGGCTATTATCCGTGAGATAGCTGATTATTCTCGTAGTTTTCTTTCATGCAATTTTGGGCATGAGTTTAGGAGCTCGAATGTCGAGGCTCACAATCTAGCGAAGCATGTTTTGAGACTAGGGATCGGCCGCCATGTTTGGTTGGGCAACCCTGGTGACCTTCAGTTCGTCCCTATAAACATTGTGACAGTTTGAATAAAAAGCTTTGTGGATTGTCTAAAAAAAATAGCTCTTGCAATATTTTCTTTTTGTACGAGTGAACGAAGGACTGCGCACCTTCTTGGTGTATTAGGCCTGGCCCTAGAACGTTTTACTTTGTGCAGTTCAGTGTGTTTTCTTATATTTTCATGCTTCAACGTCTACAACTTAAGAATCCAACTACTGCATTATACTCTCTCCGTTCACAAATATAAGATGTTTTGAATATTACAATATGGACTATATACAGACTGAAATGAGTAAACAAACACGTGAAAATACGTCTATATGCAACCGAATTAGAAAAAGAAAAGGAACATCTTATATTTGTGAAAGGAAGGAGTTATTCTTTTTGTAAATGTGGTAAGGTATGGATGTCGGTGAACCAAATACAAAACATATTTTTTAGAATTTGCCTTTCAAAATCATGAATGAAAAAACATTTTCATCTATGGTTAAACATATTTACGTAACTTCTAATTTCAAGAAATATATTTCCATTCTAGTTATTTAATGTTTTTTGAAACAAATTATTGACATTTTTAGAAAACATATATTTTTGGATGTCCACTGTTTTCCATACAAATATAAATATTCTGTAAACATCAGGAACATTTTCCTGTACATATTTAACATTTTTGAAATGCATAATTCACATTTCTAATAAATGTAGGTAAAGTTTATTTTAGTAATATAGTATATGGTTAAAATATTTGGAAGTATAAACAAATGTAAGAAAATAAATCAAAAAATAAAAAAAGGGTAAAAAAAACAGGAGAAAACAAGGAAGTGGACTCCCGGGCGCCCGAGCTAAGCCAGCACGGAATTCGCTTCAGGCGAGCCTAACATCAAAGTCGCGGCAAGCAAGGTATAGTCACCCCAGCAACGAAGCCCCGACCGAGCTAGTGCGGAGCAAAAAAACACTAATCACGTGCAGGCCCAGTACTTTACGCACAACCGAATATGAATTACATACAGGCTAAAATGAGTGAACAAACACACAACCGAATCAGAAAAAAGATAGAACATCTTATATTTGTGAAAGGAGGGAGTAATTCTTTTAGTAGATGTGGTAAGGTATGGATGCCAGTGAGCCAAATAAAAATATTTTTATTAGAATTTGCCTTTCAAAATCATGAATGGAAAAATATTTTCATCTATGGTTAAAAATATTTACGTAACTTCTAACTTCAATAAATATATTTCCACTCTAGTTACTTTTTAGTATGATATCTTGAGACGTCGGTCTCAAATCTTAGTGCATTTTTCTTGAAGCTGATGAAAATAGTAGTTTTTAAGTAAAATCATAAATGGATAAAGACTTTTATATGTTTAAAAAAATGTTTATGTAAATACTACTTTAATAAATATGTGCCCGGTCATATATAGAAGATGTTCATATGAGTTTGATAAGGCGTTCAAGTACGTCAAATGAAATGTTCATGTAATTCCCAAAAATTGAAATTGTTCCTACAAATAATACTTCCATTGGTCATGCAACCAAACTTCATTTTCTTCAAAATATAACCTATGTTGTACCGCCAAAAAGCCACCTCTTGGTGGGGTGTTAAGATTGATAGTACATAACTATATCCAACAAGACTGAAATCTGATATCCATATTTACACAACTATGCGTGTGTGTGTGTATCTTGGTGTAATCTGTGGCATTCGTAGACAAGTTTTGTCACCAAAGTTCAGAAGTTGGTCACATGTTCATGGGTCCTCGCCTTTTTAGCTAAAAGTTAAGTTCCTAATACCACTAAAAAACATGTGAGTGAATGAATTTAAAACTCCAAACTCTAGGATTCTGATTTGGTTGCTACTGTAATTCTCATCCACTAACGAACATGATCTGCACCACATGACATCAGCAGTAGTACCAAATGGCAAAAAAAAATTTGTATAGTACAAAAATACCAATGTGATGAGCATCCTTTTTTTTTTTGAGGGAAATCTGATGATCATCCATTTCAGCGTTTTTTAGTCAGGCTGACGACGCTCTCCTCGGCAACACCACAAGAGGTCTTGCAAGAGAGGCCAAGCCCAAGGGCAAACCTAAGCCCGGCCCACCCGAGCATCTTCTGGGCCTCGGTGTGCCCCCGGCCGGTCTTCCTGCCGCTGGCCGTGCAGGCGACGTAGGCCGCGAGGAACGGGTCCTCCTCCGGCCGGACGCCCCGTCTGCTGGACCTGCTCCTCACCGTCTTCACCGGCGGCGACAGAGACGGCGCTCCAGGACCTCCCGGAGGAGGCGGCACGCGCAGCTGGTGCGTCCGTGCCTCCACCTTCTTGGTGCTGTCCGGCGTAGTACTCCTTCCGCCGGAGTGCTTCCTTGCCTCGGCCGCCGGGCTCTCCTTGGACACCCCCGGCTCCTGCTCCCAGGAGAAGGCCACCGCCCCGCACGTCGCTAAAGCTCCGGGCTCCATGCTTGTACGGTTGTACCCCTCCCCAGCTAGAGATCAGTGAATCGCGCTAGCTAGCTAGCTCCTTGTAGATAGAATCCGAGACGAAGAAGAACAACACGAGGAGGCGGCGTTGTCGGAGAAGGAAGAAGAAGAAGAAGGGCCGAAGTGGTAGCGGAGCAGCGGCGCCGTTCACGCGAAGCGCATGCTCACGGTGGGGTCGGGAGGCCTGGTTCTTGGTTCGGTGGTATGCGGGTACGACGTGGTGCGGGTTTTCTGGAGGTTTTATAGCGGCGCAAACAGGGTTAGTTCGGCGAGGTTTGATCGGCCGACGGATGTGACGGCCGGGGTCTCGATCAGGAGCTCAGCTCAGGACGGGTGGTGGCCTGGCGCGTCCTCTTCCGCGTTCGGTTTCGCCTTTGTGGCATGTGGGAGCCCTAAACAGAACTGGCATGCGCACGCACGCAAATCCGCCGGCGGCTAACCGTGTACCGGCAATACGGTTGCAGATGCTGCTGCAGGCAGATTTGATCGAACACTCTGGCTAGCAGCAGCGGCGGCGAGGGTTCTCGTGGATGATGTCTTGGCAATCGGCGTGGTGGTGTGCCTATCTGATCTTGATCTGGGCAGCAACCGAGGAACGTGCTGCCGCAGCACTCTACTCTGCTCTGCTCGTCAGCGAGCAGGCGGGCCTCGTCGCAGTTTGCGTGACAATGCTACCGATCATCACGACCTCGGCGCTAGGTTACAGCGCAGGGGTCAGGACGCAGACCACGACTTCCATGCGTGCCTGTACCTGTAGAAAATGTTGGGAGCCGCCGGAGAGCCGAGACAAATTAAGGGTTGTGATGTGTGTCATGGGCTCACGGGCGGGCCGACCTTTAGCTTGGAGAGCGCCAGCAATGGCTATTTTACTCGCGGCTCGCGGCGCATGTGACCCGGCGTTTTGTAGGGTCCAAGCCGCCGGTTTTTGGATAGAGGGAAGAACGAAAGATAATGCCAATTTTTTTATAGTGTGGTGCTGTTGCAATAGACGTGCACACTTGTTGGGGAGTCTTGGGGGGCAGGCCAACTGGCTTTTCCTGAAAGTGACGAGTCGTGCTAGAGGCCAGTGTTGCTAGGAGGGGCATCTCAAGTTCTCGACGCCAATGTCATTATATTTTTGGTTCTAGTCCTTCTCAACATCAATCAACCACCTTGACGAACAGATCTGATGGTGTACTTATTAATAGTGTTCCGCCCTGCGTGGCACAGACCGTAACGAATGATTGTACGAACGTTTTTCACTAATCATTACATAGGTGTGGTTTAAGAAAAAATCAACCACCTTAACGCCGTAATCCCCTCTACAGAATAACCACACAAGTCATGAAAAGGAACTATTAACAAAAATAGATGATAAAATAAATCTCAAATCCAAATTCATAAAGCACCTCTAGTCTATAAACACGACAAATCTAGCTATGTTTAGTACTTCCTCCGTTCCAAAATACTTGTCGTGGTTTTAGTACTCTCTAGTTATAAAGACGACTTATGATTAGTACTCCCCCGTTCCAAGTTCATTTCATTTTTCTTAACACCGAGGCTCCTCGTCGATTTTCATTAAATAAACAACCACAATGTATTACAGAACGAAAGGCAAAACAAAGGGGAAAACGAGAAAGAACTTAAACCAGTTTAACAAGAAGGGATAGAAACCATCAACCCCACACCAAAACGATGGAGAAAGAGACGATGACACGAGGTCAGCACAAGGGGCACCTAGCCAAAATCGTCAACAAAGTAGACACTATAGAACCAGCCTACTCCAATTCTTCTACTCATTGGATTCCGGACATAGATTTCTTAAAGCACCTTCTTGATCACAGCTAGAGCTGCAAGAAAAGCTCGAGGCTCGTGAGCCTCTCGAGATCGAATCGTATTTTGGCTCGACTCGGAAAAAAATGAGCAGAGTATGGACATTTTATGTAGCTCGATAGAGAAACAACCTAATCTCGAGCCAACACTGGCTCACACGATTTATGTCGATAGCTCGATGTCATATAATTCTATTAAATCATCTTAATATATATTAAAGTAAAATAGGATAAATTATTGTCCTATATGTTGTGTACAATTTTTCTCAATTTTACCTAGTAGCAAACATGGAAGCCTACTTAAGCATGAAGAATATATAGGCGTCAATATTGTACGGGGTTAGCCGTGTGTTAAATATCTTATTATTCTCGGCCACAGTTTCAGAGCAGACGCACCTTCAGTTTTCTATATTTCTAGTTCATCCACGATCCCTAGTTATCGAGTGTTAGTCTTCAGTTGATAGAGAATAAGTCAAATTTATAGTGGTTTTCTATGTTGTATCCGACTAGGACTCGATCTTGTTATCCTAGGCCTCCGGTACATTATATAAACAAAGGCCAGGCTAGTTGATACGGAACATCTGACATCAACGTAATCTCATTCTCCCAGCTCTAGAGTTAGGCCACATCTATATACCTCGAGGTAGATCAACTCTGTACTTGTAACATCTTCATCAATATAAACAAAAGCAGGACATAGGGTTTTACCTCCATTAAGAGGGCCCGAACCTAGGTAAACATCGTCTCCCCTGTTCTAGTTACCATCCGCCCAAGATCCACAGCTCGGGACCCCTGATAACCCACAAGTATAGGGGATCGCAACAGCTTTCGAGGGTAGAGTATTCAACCCAAATTTATTGATTCGACACAAGGGGAGACAAAGAATATTCTCAAGTATTAGCAGTTGAGTTGTCAATTTAACCACACCTGGATAACTTAGTATCTGCAGCAAAGTATTTAGTAGCAAAGTAATATGATAGTAATGGTAACAGTGACAAAAGTAAAAATAGCAATTTTCTAATAGTTGTAACAGTAGCAAAGGAAAAGTAAATAAAGCGAAACACAATATGTGAAAAGCTCGTAGGCATTGGATCAGTGATGGATAATTATATCGGATGCGATTCCTCATGTAATAGATATAACATAGGGTGACACAGAACTAGCTCTAGTTCATCAATGTAATGTAGGCATGTATTCCGAATATAGTCATACGTGCTTATGGAAAAGAACTTGCATGACATCTTTTGTTCCATCCTCCCATGGCAGCGGGGTCCTAGTGGAAACTAAGGGATATTAAGGCCTCCTTTTAATAGAGTACCGGACCAAAGTATTAACACATAGTAAATACATGAACTCCTCAAACTACGGTCATCACCGAGAAGTATCCCGATTATTGTCACTTCGGGGTTGTCGGATCATAACACATAATAGGTGACTATAGACTTGCAAGATAGGATCAAGAACTCACATATTTTTATGAAAACATAATAGGTTGAGATCTGAAATCATGGCACTCGGGCCCTAGTGACAAGCATTAAGCTTAGCAAAGTCATAGCAACATCAATCTCAGAACATAGTGGATACTAGGGATCAAACCCTAACAAAACTAACTTGATTACATGGTAAATCTCATCCAACCCATCACCGTCCAGCAAGCCTACGATGGAATTCCTCATGCACGGCGGTGAGCATCATGAAATTGGTGATGGAGGATGGTTGATGATGACGACTGATACGTCTCCAACGTATCTACTTTTCCAAACACTTTTGCCCTTGTTTTGGACCCTAACTTGCATGATTTAAATGAAACTAACCCGGACTGACGCTGTTTTCAGCAGAACTGCCATGATGTTGTTTTATGTGTAGAAAAGAAAAGTTCTCGGAATGTTCTGAAAATCCACGGAGGCACTTTTTGGAATTAATAAGAATTTCTAGGCGAAAGAAATACACCAGGGGGGCCACACCTGATGAGGTTATGTACCTAGGGTAGGGTCATGGACCTATCTAGGATACCATGCCCTAGGACATCATCATACGAAGCAACCTTCCAGTCGACCAAGGGAAGTTCCACTCGACCAAGGGAGACTCCACTCGACTGGCTAGAAGACACTCGACCATGAAGATGCACTCGACCATCAGAAGTTCAGGATCTACTCTGCATCCAAACGGTCTGTAATTGAATAGTCTTAATGGCCATGATGACACTTTATGTATGGCGTTACCAGTAACGCCAGCCTTAATGTACTTTAACCCTCCTCTACGTGGGCTGGCTGGGGTCTTGGCGTCCTCTATATAAGCCACCCCCCTCCACTGGTAGAAGGGTTCACACCCCTGTAACTCATATACACAGAGATCAGTCGACCGCCTCCGGGCTCCGAGACGTAGGGCTGTTACTTCCTGAGAGAAGGGCCTGAACTCGCTAAACACTCGTGTGTACAACTACTCCATAGCTAGGACCTTGCCTTCTCATACTTACCCCCCATTCTACTGTCAGACTTAGAACCGCGACAGTTGGCGCCCACGGTGGGGCAGGTGTCTTAGCGACTTTTTTGGAGAAGTTGCAATTTGTCCGATCGCCTTCATCATGGTTTCCGGTGGAGCTCAGGTCGAGAGCCGCCAGATCCGTCTCGGTGCGCTCACTTTCATCACCGACGACTCCGCTTGGCTCCAGGAGGCACCACTCGACATCGACGCGCTCCCCGTCTGCGGGGTGACGCACTTTCGGGTGTGTGTCCGCGGTGTCTTGCTGCGACAACCGTCGACCCCGTACCGGTCGACTCCTGCGCCATCCTCCCTCCCTGTCTCCCGCCAGCGCAAGCGCTCCGGTCGGTCGAGGCTCCAGCGATGGGTGAGGCACGCAGTGGCTCGCCAATTGGCCACCACCCAAGTCGCGGCGATCGAGCCCGACGAGTCTCTCTACGGCCTGTTCGACCTGTCGACTGGCTCCGTAGAGACTGCATCCGAGTGCGATAGCAGTGATCCGGCGGCGGAAGTCTTGATGGTCAACGGGCCCCGTAGTCCTCCCGGTTTCCCCCGCGGTGACGGGGTGGACGACGAGGACGACCCCACTCAAGCCCATGAAGAGTACCAACCCGAGCCGCTCACTTCCCAGCAGAGGGAAGAACTTCGCCGCCGGAACATGGATGCTCTGCATACTCCCATTGCCGG